TGCGGGAGTGAATGAATGAAGGACCACAGTGCACTGACTGTCGCTCTCGCTGCAGATGAGCACTGCACTGCCTAATTATACTTATGTACCACCATGTCACCTATGGTGCCCCCGACCACATCCGCTCAAGCGGCAGGCGTGCACTCACAGAGCGAGGAAAGCAAGCTGCACAGATAACAACCCTTTGCATCCATCATTCTACTGATCCACATCCTAATTACAAAGGAAGCTATAAGAAGCCCCAAGCCAGAAAGGAATGCAAGAAGCATCCCGGGCAAAGGTGGCATATAGCCCAGAGACCTCAAACGGCGAGGAGGCGGAGTATGATACCTGCCAGATTTTAAATGGTAGATTTTTAAATCTTCTTACCTTAGAAATTGAGTAGGAGGTTTCCCCAACTACAACAAGAGGTTGCAGGGCAGCTAAGGAGATAGAACGGGGATCACTAGATAGAGAGAGCTCAGCAAAGACGAGACAGGAAGGAATTGGGGATCTAAGTCATCTAGCCATTTGGATAAGCCTGCCAACAGGTAGCCGAACCTGAAACCTGGCAGGAGTCTGGCAGGAATAACACCACGCCCAGTTCTAGCAACTAGAGAACCAGTCATGTTACCAAAGTAGAGTCCCAGAAAAGACTAAGGTAGAAATCCAGTCAATAGACCCAGGGTTGAATCTTGGAAACAAAGCAAAGTCCTATTACCTAAAGTAAAACCAAAAGACGGGTGCGGACAGATAACAAGAATGACGTGATGGTGTACTCAGAATGTACTAAACCTGCTTAAATAACTACTACTCCTGTTTCCAAAAGTGAAACAGAAATCTGGCCATGCCACAGAAATCTGAATTTTTTTAAAAATGTACACATGTACACACACACCACCACCACCACCACCACCACAAAAAATGTACACATGTATACACACACACCACCACCACCACCACCATATGACTGATGCATGCTAAAATGTGAAACTTACTGCTCGAGGCTTCAGGTGATATTCAGCCATGGGTAGGGGTCCAAATTAATAAGTGGCAATGAAAAGGCCGTTGTTGAGCAATGGTAGATTTGAGAACCAATGTGGCCTGATATAACATCACCCAGTTTAAAGTCATAGTTTCTTAAGAATTGGAAAACCTTGGAAACCTCCCAAGCAACACAGCAGTCCCCTCCTACACTCCTTCCAGGAGGAGGCAGGGTATAACAAAGGTGAGCACACAGGCTCTGAGCCAGGGTCGAATCCCATCTCTACTACTTATCTGCTGTTTCCTTACCTGCATTTTTTAACCTCTCTAGACCTCAGTTTCCTATCTGAATACAAAATAGAAAAAATAACAGTTCCTCTCTCAAAGTGCTGATATCAAAATAAAATGACATTCGGGGGAAATCAAGAAAATCTGAATAAAATATGGACTTTAGTAATAATATATTAACATTGGTTCATTAATTATAATATATGTAACATACTAATGTAAGATGTTAATCAAAGAGGAAATTAGATGTGGAGTATATGGAAACTCTGTACTATCTTCATGATTTTTCTGCAAATCTACAAGTATTATAAAATTAAAAATTTAGCCTGGCTGCTGTGGCTCAGTGGTTGAGTGTTCACCCATGAACCAGGAGATCACGGTTCGATTCCCTGGTTGGGGCACATGCCTGTGTTGCAGGCTGGAAGGGGACATGCAGGAAGCAACCAGTCTATGTTTCTCTCTCTCCCCCTCTCCCTTTCTCTCTCTCTAAAATCAATAAAAACATAAGATAAAATAAAATGACAAAGTAAAATGTTAATCACTATTATTACCTTACCACTGTTAAAATACTTCCAGTGAAAGGGATCTTATTATTCCCCAAAGCAACCTACAACAAGTTTTTAATGGGAGGCAGAGGCCAAGTTTTCAAGAAATTTTAAAGTAAAATTTTCCAAAAACCTTACATCTGTAGCCCCAATAGAACGTAGAACTAGATAACCAAAAGTCAGCCATGGAAGGAGCCTCAATTGCTTTCTCCATTGATTCTGACTGGTTTGAACCGAATACCAAAATACTGTATAAAAGGCAAAAGAAAATAAGTAACACTGGCCTGCTTGTTCACTGTTCTCTGGTTAGAGGTAAACTTCCGTTTTCAATGAAAGACAAAACAAAAATACTTTCCAAATAATTTCCTTGTGTACCACCAACTTCTAGTCCTACTGCAGACATCATTTTTTTCCTAAAGCACTGTAAGAATCGATTCCTCAAACACATATAAATCTGAAATACTTTGTAAAAGTGCTCAAAGTACACTTTATTTGGCAAATAGCTTTAGTTGTATTAATTTTATTGTTTTGTGACCATAAAAAAGAACATAAGTATTCATTTGTTGATAGAGTAGATTGGAACAACTCTTTTTTTTTTAGCTCTTTTTTATTTTTATTTTTTTATAGATTTGAGTGGGAGGGGTTGGGGGGAGGGAAAAAGCATCGTCCTGATGTGCCAAGGTTGTGGATATGACCCCCTGGTCAGGGCACATACAAGAATTAACCAATGAATGCATACGTGGAACAACAAATCTCTCTCTCTCTTTCTCAAATCGATCAATCAATAAATGTTAAAATGTAAAAGCTCCCCTATTTTAGATATGTGAAAAGGTTAGGGGGGAGGATTGAAAGATGAAAAGCTCAACATGAAATTTTACTCCATTATCCAATTTCTAGAACGCAGTAGAAAATGTTATATTGGTCATCTTCTTTCAACACCAAAAGCCTTATTTCTACATTACTTATTTTTAAAATATATTTTATTGATTTTTTAGAGAGGAAGGTAGAGGAATAGAGAGTTAGAAACATCCATCAGCTGCCTCCTGCACACCCCCTACTGGGGATGTGCCCACAACCAAGATACACGCCCTTGATGGAAGTCGAACCCGGGACCCTTCAATCCGCAGGCCGATGCTCTATCCACTGAGCCAAACCGGCTAGGGCTACATTACTTATTTTTAAATGTTTAAACTTTGTGTTACATGATTTCTGTCATCAGAAGAAAAATGACCCTTTTCCTATTGAAATACTGTGTGCTGTTCACAATCACTGAAGGTAAAGGAGCCTTTCAATCTCTTAGTTGTAAAGCAGCAACTTCTTTGTAACTTATCTTGCAGGGTGCCAGATAACACCTAACACCCAAATCCCTAAGCAAAACAAAACAAAATCCGTGGGTGTAAGGCAGTGAAAGAGATCTCTCCTCCTCTCCTGATACTTAGTGTTCCCATCCTCTGTGAAATCGTACCACTGCCTTTACAAACATCAAATGTTGTTTCTGACAATAAATGAATAGTAAAACCCACTTAAAAGGAACAATTTGGATGCCTACCTCAATTTCGTAATTTTCATCCACAGGAGCCAACTAAACGGTGACTTTAAGAATGACATTAAAATACCAGAACGTGGCGGTCCAGAAACCTGGAAAGTTCTTTGAATTTTTTGCTTATCCCTAACACAAGGAAATGATCATAATGTACTTGATATCAAATTTGTTATCAGCCCAATTCGGACCGGTTGTATGGGTATCACGGTAAGAGAACCTCATGATATTAAGGAAAATGAAAAACCACACAGGGGCGAGGAGCCAGGAGGTGCCGCGACCCCAAAGACACCAGGCACTGGGCTCAGACGCAGAAAAGCCACAGGAAGCCATTCCCCGCCTGACAACGAGGTTTGACAGCAGCACCACACCACACCCCGCCCCTGGCAAGAGCCCGGCTCGGCCCGAAAGGCTGGCGAAGGCACCCAGCACGGGCACAGCGTACGCAGTTCCAGGTCAAGTTAGAAGTTAGAAAGACCCAGCTCCCGTGGAAAGAGAAAATACTGAGTGCGCCTGCACACTGTGCGCACCCTCTCTGCATTAGGAAAGCCCGACAAAGATGCATAAATCAACGCGGTGGAAACATACGGCACCCACCCACCCCCTCGCCCCACGCCTGATCCCGAGCGCGGGAGAGCGCGCCGAGGTCCAGGCGGCGGTGGGAGAGCCGCCCCCATCCACCCAGCCAGCTGCAGAGGGCTCAGCCCAGGCCGGGGAGCAGGGGCA